GGGCAGCGAGGCTTGATGTGCCCCAGTTGCTGACAATGGTGACAAATCGCTCCTCAGGGTGACCCCGAAGATACTGGAACTACATATGCAGACAGAGCCTACTATGACTGTCCCTAAGTGCTTGAACTGTCCCTGGCCTTTGCCTTCTTCCACTGATTCCCGAAAGATGACGATGTGTCGCTGCGAGGCTGCTTATGTGAACCCCTGATCCGTAACTGATCCCGTTCCTCTGCTTCAACTATCATTGCCCTCTGGACCACCTCTCTATAAGTCCTCAAGTCAAGAATTGAGACAAGATGTAGCTCATCCTGAAATTTCATTGCCCTGGCCTCATCTGTCGTTACCATATCCTCGGCATAATGAGAGAGAGAAGTAAATCGTATCTCATACTCAATGACACTCATAGTGCCCTGATAAAAACCTGTGAACTGTATCCTCATCTCCCACCTTATAGCCTTAGGAAAGAAGCTCTCGTAGAACAATATCCTGAACTCCTCCTAATTCATCACCTCCACATCGTGGATATTGGTCATAGACCTCCACTAGATATCGGCATCTCCCATGAACATAGAGGCTGTTAAGGAGATCTTTAATCGGTCTATACGCACTGCTATGCTATCGAGCTTGTGTACCATGAGATCAAACCATGCCTCTGAAGCAAGCGGATCCATACTCCCTGCAAACTGGTCAATCTTAACCCTCTGTAACTTTATGAAGTAGCCCAATGCCTCATTAGCAACTAGTGCCAGTGTTGGTACCGATATCGGGATTTGCATCCCTGTAATGTGCTGATGAAACATCTGCTGAATGGACTCTGACATCCCCAGAGCCACTCCCTGTGCAATTTGCTCCTTATAAGTCGGCGCTCATGGTGGATTAGGATCCACACCACGAGGTCAAACCCTGGGCCTCCCTGGACTTCGTGCGAGCCCAGTGTCCTCAACCTGCTCATCCACTCCGTCATGACGAGAAGACTCTCCGCGAGTCAAGACCATGATGCTAAACGCACGGAAAGAAAGAGGTCAACAATAACACAAGTTATTATGACCGAATGCAACTCACGCTATAAATGAACAAAACAAGGAGCATGTCAATGTATATGACGTATAATCATGCTAAAGCAGGTAAGCAAATACAACATGCTAAATGGATACTAAAAACTTCTAGGTACTTAAACACGTAAGCTCATAGACATGTTATCAAACTAAGCACGTAAACATGTTATAATACTAAAACATGTTATCAAGGTAACGGATAAATCAAAGAACACCAACAAAAGTATGATATGCACCCAAAACCCATCGTCCTAAGGTTTTCGAACCTAGGAGCTCTGACACCACTTGCAACGACCCGAGTTTTTCAACCCAGTGCGTCAGTGATGACTCGAAAGTTGACCCGATAACGGATCCTAAATGCGGAAGCAAAAGATGAAACCGTAGTCCCTTGAGATATAAATCATCTTTAAGACACCAATGTGACATTCCATGAGGTCACGGAACTTAAGGAGAGCGAAAGAGGAAATGAGAGTCAAAACGGCTAAAATTCGTTAATTAAGGGCAAAATGATCAATTCACAATTAAAGGGAGAAAATTGACTCTAAACAAGTCAAACAAGGTGAATACAACCTAATCTAATCATTTCACAACATTCTAAGAGGTTCCAAGAACATTGGCTAAGAATTCCCTAAAAATGCCCTTTCCCAGTTTAAGCAAAAACTGACCCTACCTCACTAAAATATGATTAACTCCCACTATGATTGGAGTCTAGGAATGGCATTGGTATCATTGGAAATCTGACTCAAAATCCTTGAGTTTAGGCTTAAGAATCACCCCATTTGGGTTAGAAATGAAGGAGATATGACCCTTTGAAGTTAGAACCTCAATGTTGTAACCAAATCTGGAAGGCAAGTGCATAAAAGCTATTTTGGTCGACCGAAATAGAGTTTCGGTTCACCAAATAAGACAAAATTTTACTAAAAACATGTTTATAGAGGGTTGGTTGTTTCGGTAGACCAAAATAGAGTTTCGGTCGACCAAAATGACTCTGAACAGTTAAAAAGGCTACTGGAATGGGTGATTTATTGTGCAAAGGAATTCCCAAATGCCATCGGTCGGCTGAAACACCTCGAAAACCTGCTAAAATGACTGCTATGTGCCCAAGGTGTTAAGGTTCAACCCAATCTTTGAATCCTATGATGATTTGGTTCAAAAATGAGAGTTTAAGATTGATTTTCAAGGAGATTAAAGTATGTGAACATGCCAACAACCTTAATATGAATAATTGAACGTAAAACATTGGCTTTTGGCCTTATACATGTCAATTACAAGAATCTCATATGCTAAACTTCTAAGGTTGGTTAAAATATGCTTTTAAGGCAAACTATTGCACCAAATGAATACAAGTGCTAAAGTAAGCATGTTTGGCCCTTGGCCTCATTACAAACACATCCGTAGAGTATCAAAAGGTGCACTTAAGTGCACATTACATGGATTGAACAACGAATACATATTTTATCGTAATAAGCAAAATGAAGTGTGCTATGCTAACAAGTACATATTCTAATATAGCAAAAGTACTCCAAATAGTCTAACAAGTCTAAGATTGTTGTGCATCCCACAATATTACTTATTTACCTAAAAAACACCCGGTAACTTCGGAGTGAGTAAACAAGTTTACTCATAGGGAATGAGCATGCATAGGTTTAACTTATTACAAAGTTTGCAAGTTATATAATTCAATCCATGCTATTAAAGTTACATTAAAACTTTCAACATAACATAATGAGATAAAAATTCACAAAGTTAACAACTTGGAATTTAAATGCAAAATCAAACCAAGGTGTATACTTGGATATTGCCCGGATTAAAACCGTACTATTGGGATCACTTTAGGGCTATTAACCCATGGGTACCTTCCCCTAGTGCGCACTATAGTGTAGGGAGCTCTCTATCTCCCTTACTAGAACCAAGTCCTAGCCAAGTCAAGTTTTTGATAATATCCCAAGTTTCCAAATCAACAAGTTGAGCAACAAGTCATGATACGTGTTAAAACATAATAAGTTCCATGAACTGAATGACTAAATCATTAGAATAATTAGATATAAATTAATTAAACTAGTTAAGTTATTTCTCTATATTTCAAGAGTTGTCCAAATGATTTCAATTAAATATATGACAAAGAGTAACTCATGAACATGCCATATATCAAGTCAAAAATGGAATTTAAGCATGGTACGATTAAGTAGAATTTAAATCAATTTAAATTAATTAATTCTCTAGATTTAAAAACTCATTTGAATCATGCTAAATTAATATACAATAAAGATCAAGTCATGGCTATGCCATATATCAAGTCTAAAGTGAATTATATGCAAGCTACCATTAGTCATTTATTTCTTAAATTAACATAGGACATGCGTACAGCTTCTATATCATTACAAGATCAATTAAATTACTTGGAAAAATAAATTATAACACCCCCTACCTCTATAGAGAATAGAATCTCTATAATCCAAGGCAACTAAGCTTAAAAATGGAAAATTAAATAAGGGTTTTATAGAGGAGAGTGAGAGGAATCTAAAGTGTTCCAAGCTTATAGGTCTAAAGTGAGTGGCAGGGCACCAAAAATGAAGTCAAAGCTAATAGTCAAGCTTCTCTCCAATGGTGGCTGCGTTAGGGTTCTTGAGAGGAATGAGATAAATGAATAAAATGAAATGGAACCCTAAGTTAAAGTGGTGGGATTCTCCACTCACTAAGTGCTCTTGCACTACCTTTCACACACACACACTTGCAAGACTAAAGGTGAGTCATACACTTGTCATGAATTTAAGTAAGCTTCCAAGATTAAAAATCAAGCCTACACTTGTCAACCATCTATACCAACAAGTGCTGTAACAACCCGGATTTTTAAGAATTTAAATTATTTTTATCTCATAAATTTTAGTTGTTAGAGATTGGTTATTTAATTTTAAATTGATGATTCCCATTTAAATGATTTAATGGGTTTGATTTTTATTGTCATAATTAATTTAATTAATTTTGATTTAAGGCTTATTCATTGGAGATTTATTATAGAAGTTGATTATTTGAGATATTGGGTCTTGAATTTGAGATTTTACCCGGTTAATATTTTAATTGGTTTTGATTTTAATTTTGTATGCTGAAACTTCTGGACAAAATTGGTGGAAGGAGACTAAATGGGTTTTGATTATTTTTGCAATTATATGTATATATCTTTGTTGCATCAGTTGGTGATGAGGCTGCCGATATTGAGAGGAGAACGAAAGATTGAATGGAAATGGTAATTTGGCGGGTCCCACGTACTTTGTGATTTCAGTGGACAATTTTCCTTTGGCTTTGATTTTTTCTCACGTGGTTTTTTGTGGTGGCTGATGTTTCTTTGTTAAATGTTGTATGGAATGGAAAGATGTGAAGATAAAGATAAGAATTGAGGAGGAAAAAGGGGGCGAAATTGATGATGATAATGGGCCCCACTAAATGAGATATTATGGGTCTTGATTTGTTACATTGAATATATATATAATTTTTATATATAAGTTTCATCTATTGGCTTTGGTGCAGCGAAATTAGACATTATATATATGTATATATATATATATATATATATATTGTATCAATTTGTGATAGAAGGAAAGCAAGTGCCGAAGTGGGAAAAGGAAAAGTAAAGAAAAGGGTTTTGTTAACCGCGGGTCCCACCAAGGAGTAAATCTTCTTTGCTTTTGATTTATGCACGTGGTGGCTTTATATGATGGTGTATATTGATATTTGTTTGTTTCATAATTGTGATGACAGAAGATAAGGAAATAGGTAGATTTTTGTTGTTTAGGTGAATGATGAAAAATGAGATAAAGTAATGATATGGTGGGATCCGGTTAATTTTTGGTCCAATTGTAATGATATCTGATGGACACATGGGGTGAACAGTGTTGATATTTATTTTGTGTCGGTGGAAACATGTGTGAGCTGTATTTGATAATTGTGTGAGCAGTGCATGTGTGGGTGCATTTAGCTATATATATATATATGGTAGCCTAAGTGATGATACAGACAAGGAAAGAATGAGGAAAAAATTAGAGAAAATAGAGGAGACATCCAACAGAGAGTTTAAGGATACAGAGAAAGGGCCGAGACCTAGAGATTGAGCCAAGACAGAGAGGGCCAAAGTTGATGCTCGGATGAATTAATTCTTTTACAGTGTAGGGATCATCATACCTTGAATGGCTTGGATGATTTATTTCAAATATTTTGTTAATTATTATTTTGCTAAAATTGCATATATGAATTTTGTTTAAAAGCATATATATATATATTTTTGTGAAGCAAATTTATCATGAAACTTCTTGAAATCCTTGTTATGGTTTTTCCTACTGTCTCACCCCCCTACAGTTTCAGGTACCGAGGATGAACTTGGATTCATAGTAGCGGGCTTAAGTGGAAGTGGAAGAGTTGGTTTTGAGGAATTAATTTTATTATTTAGAGAATTTGTATATTCATTTTTGAGGAATTGATTTAGTCAATAAAGGTTATTTTATTTCTTTTGAGATCCTGGGAGTGTATTGATGTGTTTTGATTTAATGAAATCGAGGATTTTATTTAGAAAAAAATTCGGGGCGTTACAAGTGCTCCTATTCTAGGCCAACAAATGGGTAAATCTCCACCCTCCATGTGTCATGGAATTAAGTCTCTAAGTGGTTCTTCCACAAAACTAACAAGTGGCACCTTAGGAATGCGACACTCACATTTTCTGGAAATTGTAAAAAAGTCCTTTTTGAAAATATCTTCCAAATTAAATTATAAAATGGTCCCTAAGACGAAAAATATTTACTTTATTTAATTACACAAAACCCCTCAAGTTTAGAGTAATTATCAAAAATTATGCACTCATGTCCTTTACAAGAAAAGTAAACATTTAACATGCTTTTCTACAAAAGTGAAAATGTAGATATCATAGAAATTAAATATTATGAATGTATGCAAAGCCGGAATCAAATCCGAGTGCAAAAAGTGAGGTTATGTAAGGAAAAATGAAAAATGACTAAATGACGAAATATGGAAAAAGACGAAAAAAGAAATTTTTAAAAAATGAAAGAAAGGAAAATGACAGGGTCATTACATCCCTAGCAATGAACTATAAAGCAAATAAAGAAATAAACAACTATACAATTATGAACTAGAAAGCAATAAAAGGATAGCGCCACTTTCATAAGGAACACGGTTGCATTTCGCATATGCAACAAGCCTTTTAAACCCCTAGATTATCCCTAGTGGACGAGTGAAGTCTCGTGAGGGTTTCCAGAAATGATACTCACAAACATCAAGTTCTTTCTCACTAAAGAGGCACCAATGATCCAAACAAGCATTAAAAGAAAACTACCTCAAGTATGCAATTTTTCAATCACCTCTAAGCAATCTTCTAAAATTTTAACAACAAGAAAGCAAATATGGTCCTCCACATATCAAGTAAGATAATCATGCAAATCGAAACAACTCTAGAATCCTTTTTGAGTGAACCGGCATCAAATATCTTGCAATCATAACAAATCAATGAAATGGGCACAACCAATCTCAAGCTAGCACACAAATCTAGTACCGATCATCAAGACAAAGAATGAACCTCTTTATTCAATTTATTTCCTACATACTCTCTTTGTTTTTCTTTTTCACACACATTTTTTTTTTTTTTGGATCAAAGACAAGAGTATAGTGCAATGTAGTGATCTCTTACGCTTTCTAGAAGATTCATTTAGTGAGCGTTAGATTAATGACTCCTAAACCGGACGGCATTAGGGTCGATGTTTTCTAGTTTCAGGGTTTCTGGCCCCGGTTTGCGCCAAACTTGTTTGGGGCATAACTTTCTGCTCGGGACTCAGTTTTTGACGCCATTTCTTCCGTTATTCTTATTTTCTCATTTTGAATCTTTTTTGTTTACAGAGTTTCATCATTTGAGCGCGTCTGCTCAAATTTCACTTTTCCGAACCCGGCGGGGCCAGTTCGGGGCACTTTTTGAGATTTCTATAAAAGGGGGATGAGATATTTTATTTTTTCATCTTCCCCACTCTCTTGCATGACCTGAAGCTTCCATGGCAGCCCAAGGGAGGCTTCCACCTTCTCTCTCATTTGAACTTCATTTCTTTATTAGAACATAGTAGGGCCTTTGCGTTTTGTGTTCGTGTTGACTACGCGCTTCTTTCACCCTTATTAGAACCCATTTTTGGCCAAATTTTTAGTTCGGGTTTGAAGTCAAGTTGTGATTTTGATGGGGCTTCTTGTGGGTTCATGTAGATCGTGTTGTCCCCGACAAAACCCTTCGTTATCGTTGGATTCGGAACACTTTTTTTTTCGATGGGCTTTTGAGATTTTCATCTCAAATTGTGGTAGGGGATGTCTTAGGTTTATATTATTGTTGTATTGATTGTTTTATAAGCATATACAACTTATGAGCATGCCTTGTTCAAGTTTTTAGAATTTAATTTATTTATTTTCTTTGTTTAGGATTTAATTCTAATGATGATATATAGTTTTAAATTAAATTGTGGCATGCTAGTAAATTAGGCCTTGGTGAGTTGTGTAACATATATTAAATTTGGAGCATTTGAGTAAGAATTGCAAAACTTATTTAATATTTATCTTTTGTGAAAGATTAATTCACATAGTTGTATCAAGTATGAAACCAACTTGTAATGTGATATTAAAGTAGGCCGTGGTGAGTTCTTTAACACATATTAAATTGAGGACATTTGGATATATTTGAAAATCTAGAGAAAAATTAATTAATGAGCATAATTAATTTTAATTTAAGTGTGTTGGTCACTTAAATTGATATTGGAGGTAATAGGTTGATAATCCCTTGAAATGTAGGCTGTTTAATCACCTTGTGAGTATGTTACTAATTTAACATAGAATTAGTACTTGAGACCTCTTGAAATGGTAATTGGACTTAGCATGATATAGAATATCATTGACTTGCATAGCTTGTTTAGATATATCTTGTGTAGGTGTATAACTTGTTAAAATATTACAATTGTTTACCTTGTAAGCTAGTTACTAAATTGGGACTTATTTAGTACTTGTGGTTTAGTGTGGTAATGTGGTTCAATTGTTGTAAAATATTCTTGTTTTGGTGTATAAATTGCATATTGGAGGCTTGACATGTCATATGCTATCTAGACTTGAATTATTGGACATGGTTTGTGTGGATTCAACCTTATTTGTGCATGGAAGATGGTTTTATGCATTAGTGGATTTGGTATAAGTTTGGTCTAACTTATTGATTTTTGTATGAGTTTTGCACTTATTGATTTTGGAAAGCTTGTAAGGACATATTTCACGTGATGGCTAGGGTTTGGCTCTAGTACGGAGACAAGAGTCTTCTAAGTCATAAGTGCGCACTAGGCAGTACCTTGTGGGTCGTAATTGCCCGGAATAACTTATGCATGTGCGTACTAGGTAGTGCCTTGTGGGTCGTAATTACCCGGAAACACTTGTTTGGTCTAGTGACCACATGTCCTAGTCTTTCTACTTTGATTTCGCATTCAATTTCAAGTTGTTAATCATGGATTACTTGTAACTTGAGAATTGGTGCTTGCCTATGTATTTTGATCTCATTTAGTATACTTGAAACTGTATACTTGAACTTGTATCCTTGTTGGTGTATCTAAACTCTATCTAGTGTATTTACGCTTAGTATCCTTGTCTTGTGTGTGCGGATTTCATTTTTGTATACTTGTGCCATGTATACTTGTCTTCTGCATATGTGTTTAGCTTAGTATACTTGTGTTTGTATACTTGATTTATGAGTACTCTATACATATATCTTATACTTGTGTATGTATGCTAGATATTGCTTATCCTGTTTAACATAATTTAGTATACTTGTGAACATGTGTACTTGAATGTCATGTATCATGTTTTAATACGATTTAGTGTACTTTGGCATGTATACTTGTATGTCGTGTATCATGTTTTAATACGATTTAGTGTACTTTGGCATGTATACTTGTATGTCGTAGTTCATTTCAATTGCATGAGTAGCTTAGGATGCTCCCTGAGTCTCATTTTGATATAGACGTTAGGTGGCATGAGCCATTTTAACATGTTTCACCACAAGGTGATCTTATTGTAAAACGCTAGGTCGATGCATGCTCATCTCCTACGAGTAGCTTTATGTTACTCACTTACGTTGTGGGGACATTTTTCGGGTACAGGAATCAAGTTTCGAGATTCTCATATTGCTTGGATGATTTGTAGCCTTGAAGGTTTCAATTCTTGTAAAAGTTGGCTTGAAATGCCACTTGTAACCTTATATGTCAAAATGTGTATATTTGATTCCAATGATGTAATGTGTACATAAGTACACTCTATGCAATGTATTTAACATGTATGAGATGAGGCCGGAGGCCAATGACATGTATCTTGTATTCTATGCAACTTTAACTTTATGAAATATTATAAAAATATTGAAAAATGCTACGTCATTGCTTCATAACTTTTGCATCGGGTGTGGGAATTCCATTCTTATTCTTTCATAGGGACCTATAAATCATGTTTGAAGTATGGCCAAGGGCCAAACGGTAATTTGAAATCATTTGATAATTTTGGTTTTCAAATTTCCCTTTTATTGTTCTTTTTTGCCTTTTTGCCCGTTAGGGGGTCGAATTTTGTATCGGTGGTATTTTTAAGTCGTGGACCATTGTAGCGCATCCAAATAGGTAAGTTACGTTTGCGTGCATGGTCGTTTTCGGGCAAACCTTCTTCTTTGGTGAAATGAGCCTCCTATGGACTCATTTTGAAATTTTGTTGCATAATCTGATCTAGGGGCATTCTAGACCTTTCACATCAGTTTTAATTTCTTCTTTCGATATGGTTGAATAGAAAATGTGATTTTAGGGGGGGGTTTCTTCTTCGTGTTTTTCCAGAACATGTTGTCTTGGTACCGGAAATCCCTCGTGAAGTTTCAACTTCCAGTTTGCATTTTAGCAGCTTTTTGGCTTTCATGACCAGATTTCATGGAGGGGCATTTTGGGCATTTTAGGCATTTTACAGTGAGTTTTTTTTTTAATTCTTTCATGAATCACGTAGAAAACTCGATTTTAGGGGGGGTTTCTTCTTCGTGTTTTTCTAGAAAAACTCATCTTGACCTCCGTTCAAGCCTCAGTTCTGGAAAACCTGCTTTGGATCCTTGCTGTCAACATGGGCATGCCATTGGGCACTGGCGCGTGCGCCAACATGGGTGCCGGGCGCGCATGGGGCATGTCATAGCCTTCGTCGGGCCGCCGCGACGTCAAAACTTCAAACACTCGTTTCTCCCTCGTCCGGACTCCAAATCGAGTGAACTTTTTTTTAAACTTGATTAATTTTTCGCTGTTTTTCTAACGGCGTGCTCGGTTGCACCCATATCTTCTTGGATAATTACCATTTTATCCTTTTAGCCTTAAGTGCTTGTTTTTCTTCATCATGCCGTTTCTCCTTCGTCCGGACTCCGAATCATGCGATTCTTGAGTCCATCTTGATTAGTTTTTCATTTTCCTTCCAGCGGTATGCT